CCCCAAAACCCCAAAACCCCAAAACCCCACATTGCTATTAGCTATTTAAATGTCGGTAAATAATTACTAAAATGAAAGTTCGGTAATTAATTCAAAAATTTCAGTCTACTCCTGAAATTTGCACTACAAGAGCAGAAGAATTAATAAAGAAGTCTTTCTCATAGCCGAATATAAATTACTTCATTCATCAAAATAGGCAAAAACTTAGAGATGACTCTTTGATATCAAAGCAAAGATATGAAACAAATAGTGAGAGGCCACTTGAAGGATTGCTAGTAGGAGTGAAGGATGATATAAATACGAGCTGCTCACCCTCTTCTCTTGGCTGTCTCTAACTTAATGATAAGAATACAATAACCCAAGAAATGCTAGTATCTAAATTGTAAAATCTAGGGGCATTGATAGCTGGAAAGACAAATATGAATGAAATGGGTTATGGAACCTCAGGCAGAAATTATTATCATAACGATATGCCTAATCATAAGCATTCCGATTACTCAGCTATAGAAGGTGGTGCAGCTTTGGTTAGTAATGAATCTGTGGATGTTGCAATAGGTACAGATACTCTGGGTGTGTCAAGGATTGCAGCTGCATCAAATTAAATAGTATGTTATAAACCTACTATTAATAGATATCCGAACGATTATGGTTTCAAAATGTCTCAATCAATGTCAACTGTAACTCTATAAACTAGATCCATGGAGGATTTGATATTTATTGATGATGTTATTCAGGGTAAAAATAATGAAAAGGTAATGAATCTAAGTGAGATAAAACTTGGAATAATTTAAGATTACATGCAAGAGGATTTAGATCCAGTGGTGAACCAGAAATTCAATTCATTCATTAAGACTCTAGAGTTAAATGGAGTGAATTTTATTCGAAATGATGGGATTTGCAATTTATTAACATTATTGAGGGCTAGTGGGACGATCCTTCAATATGAATACTTTAGAGGCCTTCAAGATTATATAGATAAGAACAGTTTAGATAAAACTATAGAGCAGTTGATTGACAAATCTTAAACTGCCCAAACAAGGCATTATCTCTTCAAATTAAAAGATAACAGAATGTCAGAGTTGAGATATAAGCAAGCACTCTTTATTTAAAGAGCAGAGCTAATTGAGAAAATGCAAGAATATTTTATGAGAAATAATCTTGATGCAATAATATATCCTACAATGGTATGCAAACCATTCAAATTAAAAGGAATTTAAGAAGAATTTGGCTACAAAATCAATCATAATGAGCGATAAGTAAGTCAATTGGGTATCTCATTAAGGAATACTAGATTAAGTAGTCTAGCCAACATGCCTTCGATAAGTATTCCAATCAAATCTGGCATTTAAGATATCGATTTTGAGAAAAATGTAAACTTTGAATTAGCATCTTTAACTTGGAATGATAGAAAGCTATTAAGGATAGGATAGGCTCTTGAAAAAGATATTAACACTACATAATGATTAGTTTTGATTACATTGAGTATTTGATCTTATGAATAACTATTCAAGAGCATCATGGGGTTTTGGGGTTTTGGGG